GGCAATGTGTTCATAACAGTATTGGCGCGTGCATCTGTCAGCCTTGCCTTCGCTGTCAAGATTTTGAGCTGTAGTCTTTGGTCTTCGACGAAGTCCCTGGCACGTGAACTCATCTCTTCGAATCTGCGCTTCGCCCGTTCGTGTCCTCTCCTTGCATACTGGTATGCCGCCTCTATTTCGTTGGTAGGAGGCTGTGCGGTGACGGACTGAACTAAAGTCTCCGCTTCTGCTGGGTCCGCGTCGGGAGCGAATTGCCAAAGCAACTTTTCGATTCCCGCGTATAGACCCGATGCTCGCCTCTTATGACTCGATCGCCGGGCAGTTAGAATACTTGCAGCGACTATTTCTAGCACCGTGAAGTCTTGCTCATCTGCCTGGGCCATTTCCAAGTCTCGGATCCAATGTGAAGTCGAACGAAGCGACTGCTCTTCGGGAGAATAACCGACGGTCGCTGTCGCCACCTCACCATCGCCATTTAGCGTGGCGCCGAGAAGAATCTTAAAGAATCCGATCCAGGGGTCCATCGAGCTGTACATGAAAGGTGGAACTCCGTACATGAGATGAAGGGCCCATAAGACACATCGATGGCCGCAAGTTGTTTCTTCAGCCTGGCCAAATTGTCCACCCGCCAAATGCGGCTTCGCCCAAGGTCCTACCATTCCCGGCGGACAACACTTGTCAAAGAACTTCTCGGCCGCAGTGATGGCAAATGAGCCTTCCGTATAATGCTCCCCGTCGGGAATGTGCACGGCGACCTCACCATCCGAGCAGCGGCCGATCATGATGATCCAATGGTGACCGGGGTTGAGTGCCCCGACCACAAAACGTATCGTGTCATCGTCCTTGGACCCGCGCTGGTTGCGGAAATCTTGGCTTGACGGTGTATGATCGGCCCCCACGACGTAATACGCGGTGGGATCGGGGGTCGTCTTGATGAGAATGTTGCGAAGAGCTCTTTCCGACATTTGCTCATCGAGAGAACCATGGCTGCACTCCAAGCCGTGACTGAGCGATCCACGGCGCGGGGACTGCTCCGGGGGCTTGTTCAAACGGCCTCGCGCTGATATAGCAGTGACGTCGCACGCTGCTCTCCCCTCCCATCCATCATTGTGTCCGCGGGCTGTCGTCGTCGGCGTCCGCTGTGATTGCCCCTCATGGCTCTCATCAGATAACTTGTTTGACCACGGGAGCGGGGTGCTGTGTGGCGCCTTAGCAGCCGGTCGTGGTTTCTTTTGGGAGATGCGCTCAATGGACTGGCGGCGGTGCTTTCGGCTCGGGGCAGGATCCTGATTGTCTGGGATCTCGTAGCCGACACACTTCGACATGTTGGGCGAGACAAGCATCAGCTTATTCAATGCTGGAGGGGAAGCTCGAGATACCGCCCGTGAAGCCTCGGCCTTGAACAATGTTTGGCTCTGCAAGGCGTGTGTTATGCTTGTTGGAGCGCGCAGGTAAGCTATGATCACAGGCGGTAGAGGGCGGCACTTAAGTGTCGATTGGCAAGCAGTGGTACTGTCACAAGCTACCATTTCGTGTAATTCATGACGCGCGGCTGCACGTCCCCTCATCCGCTGGTACTGGTGTGCATTGTGCATCGAAAGTATATGGTGCACCTGATAACCCCCCCCACCCCCCCGCCCCCCCGCGGGAAAGCTGAGCCTGCCGCTAATTTGGCAGCTCGTATTGGTCGTGTTTAGCCTCGGGACCGGCCCTGGAAACAAGAATTGCGTTTTGCGGGCCCTGTATGCCGCTAGCCTCCCTTCTCTCCGGTGTTTGGGCGAGATAGCCCCATTAACGCATCTCGTCTGTGGGCTTTCGGGCCGAGGCGCATCACGCATTCTGCACGATTCGTGTTGGACCGCATCCATTGCATTCCCGAACAGTCGGCTCATGGCTTTCCCAATTCGGATCAGGGGCATTGCCGTTGGCTTTCGAGACACTGGTAGGCTTTGATCGATCAAGAGCGCTAGCCCCTCACGCGGTCACGAGGTGTGGAGTCGAAGCGGCGTAACGGGCGTGACTTGCGATACCCCACAGGTCAAAATGACTTTAAGCCTTGCGCCGTATGTGCTGTCCATTGCTACCTAGGTATCTGCAGCTTCCAGTACTCCACGCCACGTCAAAACCCCAGAGCCGGGTCCGATGCGAGCTTGAAAGATTTTCGCCGTCACGTTTTCGACCTCGGTGCGCTTTTTCCTTCATGTCCCTAGCCGCTCTCGGCATCTCACATGCAGCTGGTGCAGACGCGAGATCCTGGTTGAGTAAACAAGAAACATCCTTGAAGTGACGCCATTACGGCACAGGAAAGCGCGCGGCTCGGATGTAAAGATACGGTAACTTATGTAACGTACTTGATGGGGTAGTGGAACAGATGGGGAAGTGGAACAAGAATTCGAAACGCCCTATATATTCGACTACCTACGTAACGCTACAGTAATACAACTCCCTTCGCTTTCGCTGTCGTCGCCCTCGGGTACTTCCTCGATAATATTCTCGAGTTCTGGAGTCGGAGAGGCGTTCCGCTTCCGTTTACGAGTATTTTTCTTCGCTGTCTCCGCTTCGGCTTGCCGAGCGATTTCGAGGATTTCCTCCGTATTAAAGACAAACCTCCCTTCTAATGCGACTCGCTTCCCTTTCGTCCGTTTCTTTCGAGTCTCGAGAAGCTCTCACTGCTCGGTATTCTCTTTCCGTAAAAGCGTATTCTCGGAATTCGACTTTTCGAGAGCGGTAGTCGCTCGAGCGATATATCGCTTTACCGGGCTTTCGAGTACTTCGACGTCTCGGATAATCGAATTAAGTACCGAGTTTGCTTGTTTTGATTCGGTACCGTCCGGAGGCGAGCTATCGAGAAGCGAGCGATCGAGTATATTCGTTATTGTCGATAGAGAAGCTCGAGGAGTACGAGAAGCTTCGGGCATTTCGAGGGTCGAGAGAACCGTAACCGGACTAAGCGGCGAGATACCGCTTTTACGAAAGCCGG